ACGCAGCAGCTTTGCTGTTGCACTTATGGGCCGGCTCAAACCGGGGTGGTAACACGACCTCACAGAATACCGGCGTGAAGTGGAAGCTCTGCTTCCGCGTTTTGTCTGATGAGTGCAATGGCCGGAGGTAAAATCTCCCCCCCCCCTCCCATCAACATGGTAGCGGAATTAAATGTCAAACCACCCCAGGAGGGTACCTGCACACCTGGAGAATCCCTCGCTGAGCATCCACAATCAAGGAAAACGGAACACAAGACCAAGGTGACCCCTGCCACGCTATCCGTGAATTTCTGCAATACCAGGGGATTTCACTCTAACCTAAACGCCGTCCACTATCATATTGAGACGGCGAGGCCTGCTCTGCTCTTTCTGACTGAGACGCAGGTGTCCTCTTCGACTGACGTCTCGTATCTCGCCTATCCGGGGTAAACTGGAACTGGACAACTGGCAAGTGGAACACTCCTTTGTGCCTCGGGCTGGAGTTTGTGTTTACGTCAGAGAAGACATCTGTTCTCGACGCCTCGGCAGTCTTGAAGGTTCGGACCTATCCATCCTTTGGCTACGCGTAGACAGCAACGACCATACGCGCGTCTACGGGTGCCTCTATAGGTAACATAGCGGTAATGCCGAAACAGATCGAATCTTCGACCACGTCCAAAAGGCTACAGATTCCTTGCTATAGCAGATCCCCTATGCAGCGATCGTGATCCTTGGCGACTTTAACGCCCAACACGCCGAATGGCTTGGTTCACGCTTAACCGATCATGCGGGGAGATCTGATCGTCATTTTGCCTTGGCATATCGTCTGACACCACTGGTAACTTCGCCTACGCGGATTCTAGATGTGGAGGATCATGCACCTTCCCTGTTGGACCTTCTGTTGACCTCTCACCCGGACGGATTTCAGATTTCCGTCAACGCCCCTTTAGGCTCCTCTGACCATTGTCTTGTCCGGAGTGTGGTACCACTCATGCCGAAATCGCAGTTGAATTCTGCAGACTGCCGCCGTGTTTGGCACTATAGGTCAGCCGATTGGGATAGGATGTGGCCTTTCTTTGCATCCTCACCTTTGGGGCGGGTTTTCTTTTCGCCGGACGATCCCAACGTTGTTGTGTATTCTGTCGTGGTGTGGTACTTCAGGGTTTGGAACTTTTTATTCCTTCCTCTGTGGTGCCCATCGGAGGCAAATCTCAGCCATGGTTTGGTCGCTCCTGTAAAATAGGATCATGCTATAAGCAGGAGTGCAACCAAACCTGGGCTGACGCATCAACGTCTCGGGATGTAAACACGAGCACTCTAAAAAAGAAGTATAATTCCGCCTCTAGATCAGCAGAAGCAAAGTCAGGTGCACATAGGCAGATTTGGCGAGAAACTAGTTCACCTTCCTTATGGAATCCGTGCATTCTGGTCTCTGTTTTTTTTTTCGGTCAGCCATCTCTTCCGTCTCTGCACAGGGAGGACGACACACTGGCCCATATCTCAACGGAGAAAGCCGATCTGCTGGGCTCTTTCTTTGCATCCAACTCGACTCTTGATGACAGGGAGAGTACGTCACCAACCATCCCGCGGTGTGTGTGCTCCATGTCGGAGGTGCAGTTCACACAGTACTCGGTTCGCAAAGCACTCCTCTCCCTAGATATCCACAAGTCGAGTGGACCTGACGGAATCCCCCTTATTGTGCTGAGGACGTGTGCTCCAGAGTTGGCACCGGTTTTAACGCGTCTTTTTCGGTACTCCTACTCCCTAGGCATAGTTCCAAAATAATGGAAGACGGCTTTCGTCCGTCCGATCCCTAAAAAAGGCAACTGCTTAGACCCGTCCAACTACCGGCCTGTCGCCATCACCTCCTTGTTCTCCAAAACAATGAATTCCATTGTAAACTGCCAAAACGGGACAGTATTTCATGCCGGCACACCGCCTGCAACTATACAAGGCGCAGGTTCGGCCGCACATGGAATACTGTTCTGCATCATCATACCATCTCTGGGCTGCAGCTTCCCAGTACGAGCTCCTTCCACTTGACCGCATCCGGCGCAGAGCGGCTCGAATCGTCGATGACCGAGTGCTTTCCGATCAGCTCGATTCACTGGCGCTGCGAAGAGATGTTGCATCTCTTTGCGTTTTCTTTCGCATATACCATGGGGAGTGCTCTGAGAAATGGTTCGGATTAATCCCAGCCGCCAAATTTCATTAACGCACTACGCGGCAAACGTCCCGATACCATTCACACCATCTGGATGCCTGGTGGTCCACCACTACAGGTTTCACAAGTAGTTTTCTTCTGCGTACGACCTCTCTGTGGAATATAAGTGGAATAGTTTACCACCGGTGATTTTTCCGGACCAATACGACCTGGGAAACTTCAAGAAAAGAGCTTACTCCTTTCTAAAGGGCCAGCAATGCACCTGCAATTCCCTTGGTGTTGCGGTTGATCATGGGTGGCGGTAGTCACTTAACATCAGGTGAGCCGCATTTTGCCCCCTGCAAACGGGCATTTATAAAAAAAAACACTTTTTCCGGCAAAGCAGATCCCATATAAATGTCGGATTTCTGTATGATAGGTGCGACGAGGTCTAGTAGTATATTAAATGACTCTTCGTTCATCCTGAGAGCAAAGTAATCTTCCATCGTATCTTCAGAAGTTAATTCCCTAATCATTTAGTAGCTTGCGCCTAGAATGGGTCTTCTACTTATCCATTTTCATAGCCATACTTTTCTTCTTGCAAGTTCTGATTCCAAAAGTTATTCGGTATTCAGACAATACCGCGTTTAATATTTCTTTCAGTATTTCTTGCAATTAAATGCGCTTTTCTTAAAGTGCGTCCATATTTGCTGATCGAAGTCTAACAACTGAATTTACTAAACACAGCAACTAAACAGAATTAGACACTACTTACACTTCACACCTGCACTAATCACCCGCAATTAATAATCACGTGCACTTGCACTAATCAAAGTTAATACAGACCAGTAGACAGAATCATTCTCTGTCTACGGATTTACTAAGAAAATGACTCTGTCTACGGATTTAGAATTTTAGAATATCTCTGTACTCCATGTTTGGAATCATGGAGGTGAGAGAGAAGGAGAACGATCGCTACGTGCTGAAGCATAGCTCGCATGTCCCTGAAAATTTGTAGATATTGTAGCCGCATCGCCGTCGATAAGTAATATCTCCGAAGTTAGCTGTTAACGAGTACAAGTAGGTGAAGTTAGTTGAATAATGTACACATTTTCTTCGCGGTATTGGTGGAAAAATAATCATGCTTCGCAATTTTTTAGTTTTTGACAAAAGAAAAATTAAAAAATGGTGAAAAATTGTGCGTGGATGTGCAAGTGGTTTACCATCTGATCGGAAAAATAGACTGAAAATGACTTTTATTGAGAGAACTTAGCGATGGCAGTGACTAACTTATTTTTTCCATATTTCTGGGATACTATTTTCTACAGCGATCGTTCTCCTTCTCTCTAACCTCCATGTGCTAAAGCATAGCCCGCCTGTCCCCGATAATTTGTAGAGTTTATAGCCGCGCTGCCGTCGTTAAGTAGTATATGCTCTAGTTAGTTTTTGATGCGAAGTTAGCTGTTTATGAGTACAAGTAGATAAAGTTAGTTGAATAATGTACAAATTTAATCGAAAAAATATATTATAATATAATAGTATAGCAAAAATTTAATCAAAAATAATCGTGCTCCGTAATTTTTTACTTTATTTATTTTAAGAAAATAAATAATAATAAATCAATAATAAATAGTAATATATATTTGTAATAATTATAAAAGAAACAATTTATAATTTATTTATTTATAAATAAAAATAATTTCATTATATTTTTTTGAATGTATATTAAATGCTGATAGATCACTTCAAACTAATAGCGTTAGTTCGTTTTTATTGAGACAACTTAGCGATCGCAGTGCCTCACTTATTTTGTCCATATTTCTGGGACACTATTTTTTACAGTCTGTGTCAACAGGGATCGTTCACCTTCTCTCTAATCTCCAAATACTGAAATCGATTGAAATAGGTACTCCAAAGAATAACAATCAAAACAAACAGAACGCTCGGTTGCGCTCGGGGTAGAGTTTAGTGTTGCCAATTTAGTGGATTTTTTACTATAACTGGTGGTTTTAACCCTGCTTGTAGTGGAGAAATATTGATTTTAGTGGTTGGTGGTTTTTTTAGTGGATCAGTATAGTTATGTTTCAATTAATGTAAAGATAACCACTCAACTGTTTAGCCACTTACACTTTTAGATGTATATAACCACGTCATTTCAGGAGTGTTTAATTTTTCTGTGTAGGCAAAAATGCATAGTTGGAGATAGCAATCAATAATATAATCTTGTCATTGGCTTATTAATTTGTTAATTATGCATTAATTTATTGTTCACTTACACAGAAATTTAATATTTAGTTATATAGTAGGTATATAGTAATAAAGGAAACCAATTACTAATATATCTATTGTTTTATTTCGTAGTAACCAATAAGATTAGTAGAAAACTTAAAGACTATGAGATATATTATATATCTCTTTGTAGTTTTCTGGTGGTTTTAGAAGTTGGATCTGGTGGAGAGGGAGAGCTAGTTTAACAGCTGGCAACACTGGCATAGATAGAATAAATATCGATAAATATATTTGAGATTATTAAAAAATGACAGTTTCATATTGAGTAGTCAGTAATCTATGATATTGAGTTTGAGAGCGTGCTTACTGCTTACCATTACCAGTTTTCAGTTTCCAGTTTATACAAAAGGTACTCTGTGGCGCTTACGCGCAGTGCTCACATCACTATTTAATTATTCATAAGAATTTTCGATAGTGTTCTTATCGTAATATTCTGTGAATGGTGTGAACATAAACCAACATAAACATTGTAGTCTCTAGTATATAGTCAGTAATCTATGCATTGTAGTAAGAAGTTGTTGACACCCAGTTGACACCACACCGACCAAAGAAAAGAATTTTCGGACGATTAATTTTAGAAGTAATAAAAATGCAAAGTGCATCAGATATAATTTCATCCTTATTGTGGTTTAAGGACAATGAATATCCAGATGAAGAAAGTAACTCTCAAATAATAGAGCAGTTTGTTCAAAATGTTGAAGATTTCAGTTCGCAGTATGGAAGTGAAATTAGTGTTTCATATACAGCTTTTAATCTTCGTGGTCCACCGTCGAACTTTCCAGATTATGGAGATTATCCTCAGGCGTTTGTTATGGTAAATTTAATTTAAAATCAAAGCAATGCTGTTAGCGGTCTCCTAAAATTAGTAGATCAGTTTTACTTATTATTTATTTATTTTTTTAATTAAAATCTATTTGATGATTTTTCTGAAGTTACTCTATTTCACTTTAATTTTTATATTGATCGAAAATTTTTATAATGAACCAAAGTTGATTGAGTTGATTAATTTCGGACCATTGCAACAACATTGAAATAGTTGAATGTTACTATTAACTGTAGGTGTGACACAAGGTTAAATCCACAAGCAGATCAGATGTAAGCTAAATAATATAATTGATACAAGAGTTAATACAAACAAATTGGTTATTAGGTACAGCAGGATCTCTATAATCTGAACCTCTTCTAATCCAAATACCCCACCCCCGCCAGCTTCTTCACGGCTAACTGTTTAGCGCAGTGTCTGTGTTAAATATATGACTTGAATGGGCTGACCAAGTGGACATTTCTGTGCAAGAAAAAATGATTTTAGATAAATTACGAGACAAAGCTTTTTATTTGTCATTAAATACCACCTGACAAACTAAAATATTGGTTTTCTTTAAAAAAAGTTTAATTAATGTTAAGTTTATAAATGAATATTCATTTAAAATTTCACAAATACTATTTGTTTTATTTCATAAAAATACCCTATAGATTCTCTGTCCCATAATCTGAATGCTTCACAAATCCGAGCGGAGGTAAAATTTACTGTTTTCATATTAAAGAAGTCCTGCTGTAATTTCAATGCCCTATGTGAGAATGCATTCACAATCAAGCTTAACACTATTGCATTCTTTCAGATTAGTGTCATTCATTCATTTCTAGTAACCGATTATTCAAGTATTGATTTGCCTCAAAAACCAGATAATTAAGGTCGATCAATTTCACAAGTGGTACATCCATGGTGTAGCTTTATTATGGTTGTAGCACGAATGGGTCTGCTCGACCAGGGTAGGACTACACTCTCATAGAATACTAGCATAAAATAATGGGTGGGTGCAGAGAATCAGAGCTGCTTTTCACTGGAAACGAGGTATTCCATCTTAGTTTTCAGGGGTGACAATGCATCTGCATTTTGATTCTTAATCGAGGATAGATGTAGATGTCTATGGGCCACAGCATCAGGTGGACTGTGTGCTCATTTGTCACTCTTATTCTATAAAAAAATTCAAATGGATCATTTTGAGTTTGTGTACTTTGTGATCTGTGGGATCTGCTGCATAATGTTGGTCACCGGAAATTATTATTCTCTATGGTCATAGGTTGTGTCAATCGTTTGTTCCAGAACATTAGAAAATATGATTGCATTCATCAATACTTTAATGCAACCTGGGTTAAATGAACAAATCATTCACGATTGACACATGTCTACTTCCTGTACACACTACAATTTGGAGGGATTTATACCTATCGATTGGTAAATTCGAGACTGACTTTTGTAAATTCTAGAATGTTCTGATGATATTTCACTTCATGATTAGCTCAACTTATCTGTTTTTGATATGACATATTATTGGCATGTCACATATAGCAGGGGCGTATGCTTGATTTGTGATCAAAAACCTAAGCCACTTCTAGGTTACTTAGATTGTTTTGGTGTAGAAAGTGTCTACAAAGTTATTGGTGCTGTTAGTATTCCAAGTACACTACTTGAAACAGCAGCTAGAACTAATGCATTTGTTGACATCTAATTCTTACCTATGTATTATATCTTACACTTATTCCAAATTTAAAAAAAGAATATGCTTCAGTGTTAAAACATTGGTGGTGAAGTTTTTAATTAGATTATAAATCTATGAAACTATAAAACAATGAAACTTCCCAACAAAATTAATGGGGTCAATAGGGGGCCATGTTTGTTATAAATAGCATTATTTAAAAAAAAAAGAATACTAGTAAGTGTGTTACCACACCAAGCGATCGATCGTCGATCAATAAAATGTTTAATCATCAATCGATTTAGATCGATAATTAATCGATCTATGTCGATCATTGTGGGCTCATATCAGTATTTTTCAAAATGTATTCAGAAGAGGACAAAGTTGTTTTTGAGGTCAGTAATAGCTTATTTCAATTAGACTACATTTTAAATAGAGGTCGGTGGAGTGGGGGGGGGGGGGTTCTCGAATAATCAAGCAGTTTGATCGACATAGACTAATCCATTCTACCATCGATCAATGGGTGTGGTAGAAAATATCAATTGACCTCAACTAATCTATTTCACAATTGATCAATTGATTGGTGTGGTAACACCCTACTGCTATTAACATTACTATTATACCCCTTAACCACTCCAAGTATGCTAGCTTTATAGTAAAAGTATGTTATTGTAGTAAAACTTCTTTAAGTGCGCTTGACTTGGGGAGTAGGCTGGCGAATGCGTGACGAAAGCGTTACGAAAAGTGTGATCGGGCGAGTTGGACGGGAGTTGAGTGGGGGATATAAGCAAGAGAGAGCAGTGTGCACGCACATTTTCTTTCTCTCTTTCTCTCAAAGCCAGTTATTTTTCGTAATTTTATTTCGTTTTGAACAATTTGATGAATTAACATTTTGTTAAATACTTTAAATATTCTACTTTTACTTACTTATACTTACTTTGTATGTGCATCTGTATGATATACCAAACAGATGGAGCTAAAAAGTTTTACTTCAGTCGTGTGGTCATAAGCACACTCGTTTTTTTATATAAGTATTACTAGCTTGCCAGGCAGACGTTGTTCTGCCCTTTCTGACGACCATTTGTTCTATGAAAAATTCTTATAAATATCCTGAAATTCACAAAAAAAAAATTTGTGGGTCACTCGTAGGTAAAAAACTATCCTATCTCTCAAGTTGGACCAAACTACACATGGTGTGAACATTTGATTAAAATAAGTTAGGTATATTAGGAGTCCATCGCGACAAACAACGTGACACATAATTTATATATATTAATAATATTATGTTGATATTACTGTTTATTCATGTTTTCGTAAGTGTTTTTATATTAGGTACGAGCATTTTATTTCATGTATATATAATTTGCAGAGAACCTATGGAAAGTGGTGGGATGAGGCTCCATCTTTTCAAGAAGATTATATGCCACAAAACAGTCCTTCCATACCCAGTCAAGACTATGTAGGTAAGTATGAAATTAAAAAATCAAACTTGCTTTTAATTTGAAAGGTATAAAAATATAGTTATTATTTATTATTATTAGATTTTTGTAATTAAAAAAATATGTTTTGTTTCTACATAGTCTCAAACATAAAGGTAGGAAAGTGAATGCCTCTGGGTTTGTAAAAAAAGAATCGTGATGTAGTAATTCATGATGATGTTGTTTAACTTTATAAAGCTTAGCTGAATGTTTGCTGGTTGATCATGTCCAATCTTTATATTCAATACTTCTAAATTATATTTTAATAGAATTAAGTATTCATGACACCTACAGCTATCATTTATTAAGAAAAAAAATCTAGAAAAATTGAATGCTAAAACCTTGTAACCAGTAAGAATCGTCCCCAGTTCTCTTCTTTCACTTTTCACTTGACATAACCATAAATACGGCTGTAGTGTGGCTCTACCCCATATTTTCATATTATGTATATTTGTATTCAATCTTGGATGTACTTATTTCTCTAGCTTATTTTTGTTCTTATCAGTTAATCATCCCTTACCACACACACAGTTCACAGTCTAACTACTACTAACAGTCGGTCATCGAAGGCGTCGGTCAGACAGGTCTATCGTGCAGTAGTAGCTCGGGAACTGTCTGCTAGGGTTGTCCTGTCATGCATATAAATTAAAATGGTTCACACTTCATGTGTGGTAAAAAACTGTGAATACTATAACCTATTTTTATTATTTCTGAACACTATTGTTAATAAAAAAAAGTAGTTATGACATAAAATAAAATCAGTTGTTTATTTTTTTATTAGGTACTTCCCATTCTGGGAACCATAGTAATTTATTGTTCATGTTACAAAAAATCCCTTTCATTCCTTTCCTCAGCAGTGTAAATTGTGCCTTAAGTTCACTTTCTTACTATTATAGACTAGATTATTCTCGAATTCTATAAACATTTATGACATTTGAAATTTAAAGTTAAGGCCTAATCTAAAATTTGGTACAACAATCACAGCCAAGGAGTATCTAGTATTTAGCCTTTTGTTGAGGAACAGGTAATTTCTGTTGGTTAATGATTCAACATACATTCATGGACAGATTTAAAGGAATGTATAATTTTTTTTTGTATAAAACAAGATATCATGGATATTTGTGATGCTTAAGTTTATTTATTTCGATTTTGCTTATTATTCGTTAATTTAAAATTGAAAACGGAAAAAAAACGATCAAATGGTAGAAATAAGCAAAATTTTACAGGAGAGAAACATTTTTGTCCTTAATTTTAATTTTTTTTTCAGAAATGCTTAGGAAAATTTAAACTATAAAAGGGGCAAATGGCACTATAATTTCGTCCAAAATCTGAGTTACATATCATGCCCCTGTTAGTGACCTATTCTCGATGACGCGGAGTTTTGTACGCGACCCCATACAAATACCTCCCCATACCTTAACTGAACATCCACCATATGCTTCTTTTCCAATGATGTTACACTGTACTGAGCGTCTCCACACTTCAATCCTTCCATCATCTGGATTCAGGCAAAACCTGTCTCACCGGTGAAAAGAAGTTGACTCCAAGCTTCATCATTCAAATTTTCGTAATTTCGAGCAAAATTAACTCGAGCTACTCGATGATCCTACTCTGGCAGACAAGTGTGAATTTATTCCAGCCGCCTTCAGTATTTTTTTACATTTTTGTGTTTACTGTAACCCTTCGAACTTCTTGGAGCTACGTTGTTACATCAGAAAAAGTTAAGATCCGGATTCTAAGCATGCTGGTATCGATGAACTAATCATCTCTGGCCACAGTTGTCCGTTTACGTCCCTGTCCTTAGAGTCTCGTGTTCTGTAGGTTTGCTGATATCTCTTGATAACTCAATGTACCACAAATTTGGATACTCGTAATTTTTTGGCCAAAATTTGTAGATTTGCCTAGTTTCAATTTTTTTTTATAGAAGAGGGGGCAAACGAGCTTACGGTTCACCTGATGTTAAGTGACAACCGCCGCCCATGAACAACTGCAACATCAGGGGAATTGCAAGTGCGTTGCCGGCCCATTAGAAAGGAGTAAGCTCTTTTCTTGAAGGTCCCCAGGTCGTATCGGTCCGGAAAAATCGCCGGTGATATATTGTTCCTCAGAGAGGTCGTACGCGGAAGAAAACTCCTAGTGAAACGTACAGTGGTGGACCGCCAAGCATCCAGATGGTGTGGATGGTATCGGGAGGTTTGCCGAGTAGTGCGTTCATGAAATTTGGCGGCTGGGATTAATCCGAAAAATTCCTCAGAGCACTCCCCGTGATAGATGCGACAAAATACGCAAAGAGATGCAATATCGCAGCGCCGTGAATCAAGCCGATCGGAAAGCACTCGGTTGTCGACGATTCGGGCCGCTCTCCGCTGGATGCGGTCAAGTGCAAGGAGCTGGTACTGGGGAGCCCCAACCTAGAGATGGGAACAGTATTCCATGTTAGGGCGAACTAAAGTTGCAGGTAGTGTGCCGGCATGAAATACTGTCGTACTCTGTTGGGTACGCCAAGCTTTTTAGAGCCCAATTTGGCCTTCTCTTCCAAGTGACCACGAAACTGAAACTGCGCCTTGTAAAGTTGCAGTCGGTGTGGCGGCAATTAAAGTAACAGCCCTAGCAGCTTGAGTAGCGTTTAGATTTTGCATTCTCAGTTTATTTGCGGTAACAATTTACACTCAACGCGATAAAGAAGGCAGTTTTTTATAGGATGGGGTGACAAACGAGCACACAGTCCACCTGATGGTAAATGGTTGCTTTGGCCCATAGACATCTACATCTATCCTGGATTCCTAATCAAAATGCAGATGCGTTGTTACCCGTGAGGGCTAAGTTGGAATGCCTCATTTCCAGTAAAAAGGGCCTTTGCCTTGGCCTTTCTACACTCACCATACGAAACACATCAGCATTAAGCTACTATTTTACGCTGGTATTCTGTGAGAGCGCGGTCCTTCCCCGCTCGAGTCGACCCATTCGTGCTACAACTATACTACTAATATATAACTGCAGCATGGCTCTATCAAGTATAAAGTAAGGCAAACATTTAAAGAAAACCTAAATTTTAACTCTTACAGTATAAAAAACGCACGTTATGTACGCAATAATTAAATTAAAACGACACAATCTCAATTTAGATATGAGATTGACAACACTATATTTAGATTAGAGTCTGAATAACAAGCTTCAATTTCGTGTTGAAAAATTTCCATTACAGTTTATTTATATAACTTTGTTGCCTATTCAAGGCAAATTGTATTTTTTTTTCATTAGCTGTTATGTATAAAACTTCGGACGTTTTATCTTTTTATCTACGTCCGTGATTATTATTCTTTTAGTTTGATTATAATTAAATTAGTATTAAATATTTTAAAATAGTATAAATATATACAAAATTTTTTTTTGTTGTGTTTACTTCCAAAATTCTTCGCAAAATGGTCGTAAATAATTCGACAACAGCTTAACCCAATAATCAATGTTGATATTAGCTGTTTTTTTTTGTATTTGGTTTAGGTTGCTTTGTAAGTCAAGGTGATTAAGCGGATAAAAACTTAAAAATTATACAATCATCTATGTACTAAGTTGTCTCTCGTTTCGTCTAATATTTCACATGTGCTGACATTTAATATTACACAACAAAGAACTTTAAACCCTTATAAAAAAGTTAACAAATGAGCAGCATTTTACCGGCCGGCGGTCAAGTTTCCGCCCACGCTAACAATATTCTGATTTTGTTTTTTAAACCATTATAACCATGTTCGATGGGTTCCTATGATCACGGTTATATGGCCACCTTATTGATGTGTGATTATTGGTAAAGTATGTACTTACTCAGACCAGCGACTTTGGCCAGCGTCACATTGAGCGAGGCATTAGGTACTGTGATCGTTAATCTGCCGTTAAGCGTGGTGATTAAAGGCAAATCCCTTCTGCTATTAATGGATATGTCCAAAAGTGGGCTTACGAAAAAGAAGAAGTATAATATTATTTATGAAACTGACAACTAATCTTCACTCTTTAATCCTTTTAAACCTAATTAAAATTATATAATTAATACAATCCGCTTAATAAAATAAAATAATGTATTGTACCTAATTTGAAGTGCACCTCCCGCCCTCCCTCAATTGCTTGCACTATCTCCGTCACTTAGTGGTCCCAGCACAACTACTCCCACCACTACACTAGGAAATACACACCGCTACACTAGGATATACACACCACTACACTAGGATATACACACAACTACACTAGGATATAAACACCACTACACTAGGATGTACATACTACTGCATTAGGAAATACACACCACCGTCGATACTATGACACGTGTTTCGTCTCTACACAAGGCATCCCCAAGTGAAGTGTCTGCGGTGGCTGACCCCACAATTTTAATTTTTTGTGTCTTAATAAATCACTGCTGGTCATTTTCAAAAAAAAAAAATTAAAGAAATATTTGAAAGAATATTAGTTAAGGGGCAAATGTTGTATTTTGATACTTAATAGAGGACAGATGTAGGTGCCTATGGGTTACAACAGCATTCATTCACTACCAAGAGAGCTGACTACTCATTTGTAACAGTAACGTAACAGTGTTACGAATAAAAACAGTTTGAAGTTAAGTTAGAGTCTATATACTATGGAGTATAGAAGTAAAGAGTACAGACTGTGTATTAAAAAGTGTCCATAGAAAACCGTTAAATAAGGGTGGCGCCACTATAGCTACGGGGTAAATTTTGAAGAACGCACCGAAAAATATTAGTAGGATAGACGACTTTTTCGAGGTTATATTTGCTAAATAAAATTATTTTAGATTTTAGAGCTACTGAGCAGTTTAGCAGCACACTTCAAACCGTCGACAACTGCTAAGTTCATTTCATCCCAGTAGCTACTCCAGCGCTGTTGTGGAGAGTTTTTGAACTGTTATTTACTGCTTAGAGATGGCCACTTTTTCAACTATTCTACTATGGGAGTTGGTACTCCTTAATTCTACACTCCATACTATATACGTTCCATTCCCGGGCACAGACCCGCATCATTTCTGAGAGGGTTTAAAGCAAGGAATTGTCTGCCGCGCTCCTCTAATGCGTGTTGGCGAACTTCACGTCTTCGAAATATTTTTGTTCTTATTTCCAGACATGCAGATTTCCTCACGATTTTTTCCTTCACCGCCGAGCACGTGGTAAATCAGCACTTAAAATTGCAATTAACAATGAAATGCTTACTATGAAATTTACAGCGAGCGCTAACCATCTGAGCGACCACGACGACAATAAAAACAGTTTATCACTTACTAATTTAGTTACTTAATATACTTTCATGGGTTGACGCCAGAGTCGAACTCTGCTAAATAAACGTTATAATAATTTTATCTTTTTTTTTTAAATAAAAATATTAGTAATCCTATTAATTAACATTACTAATAATCCTTTAACCACTCCTGGTAAGCTTGAAATGCTTGTGTTAGGAGTGGTTCACGACAGTAATCAAATGGCGGATTCGAACCCACGACCTTTTGAGTTCACGATCCGCGCCCTGCCATTAGGCTACTGTCGCTTCAAATCATAAGTATTATTCAATATTTACACTCCATATTTTATGTTATTCTGATAGAAGTGTCTTTCGAAAGAGCCGTGTATCCGCTTGAGGTGGCCATATTCGAGACCTACAATCCGGGCGCGCTAGTTCGCATCTGGGCCTTGGGATCGGCTGCGTGGATCTTACTTTGGGAGGGTGAGCCGGCGTACGCTGGTGATAAGCCGAGAATTTTCAGCCCACCTATAAAGCAAATAAATTTTCCAACCAGGTAATTATTTCAAAATAGTTCCATTTTTGTATATAGTTCCATTTTTCATTCTTCGATTTGTAAGAAAATAATTACGTTTTCCTCTTTTGGTTTCATGGTGGTTGTGACTAAAATCTTGTAGACGTAGTGTAGTTCATAGTGTTAATCCCTGTATGATATGTTATGAATGATATATGTTAATAATTATTTATAAAAATTATTTTACGAAGGCCTATGTTTATATATTGCTACTCGTATATTCTTCATGATAATATTGTAAAAAGATATAGTCACGTCTATCTTTTTTTTTCTTCATGACGGCTTTGATGCATTCGCCAATGTCAGCGTGAAAGTGTTTGTAAATTAAGTTTGTAAGTTAAAAATAATTCAGCAGACACTTATCTAATGTTCAATTACGGTTATGGCCTATTAAAATCCATTGCTGAACCACCTTCCCAATAAATTGCCTCTTAGGGGGGATATGTGCCATAGTTGCCACGCTTGGCATGCAGTTTTTTATTTTTACGTGGTAGAGCCATGCTGCAGTTATATTAGTAGTATAGTTGTAGCACGAATGGGTCGGCTCGACCGGGGAAGGACCACGCTCTCACAGAATATCAGCGTGAAATAGTAGCTTAATGCTGCTGTAATGGTGAGTGTAGAGAACCAGAGACCCTTTTTACTGGAAACGAGGCACTCCATCTTAGTCCTCACGGGTGACAACGCATCTGCATTTTGATACGTAATCGAGGATAATTGAAATAATAGGCAATAAACTACTTACCATCAGGTGGACTGTGTGCTCGTTTGTCATCCTATCCTATAAAAAAAATCGTTATTAGGAAGATACTGCTGCCCATCTCCTGAATTGTTTTCCTCTACCGCCTCTTACGACGCCCACGAAGCGATATGAGGTAGTCAATATTTTAACACTACGCCACTACACCGAAATGTCGATATAAAATAATGTCCAATATTTGCGTGAAATATCGTATTCTTCAGTATCTTTATCACCTTCATCAGCTTCTAACAGACCACTACTGAACATGGGTGTCTCTCATTGAAGATATTTTATACGTGGTAGAACCTTGCTGCAGTTATATTGGTAGTATAGTTGTAGCACGAATGGGTCGGCTCGACCGGGGGAGGACCACGCTCTCGCAGAAAACCGGCGTAAAATAGTAGCATAATAATGCTGTGTTTTGTATGGAGAGTATAGAGAACCGGAGATTCTTCTATTGGAAACGAGGCATTCCATCTTATTCCTCACGGGTGACAACGCATCTGCATTTTGATTCGTAATCGAGGATAGATGTGGATGTCCATGGGCCGCAGCAACCTCTTACCATCAGGTGGGCTGTGTGCTCAGTAAATTGAGCGCATAATCACGATTGAACCCTGCCTATTACAGCTGACGCTATAGACAAAAAAAAAAAAATCAAAAAGAACGCCAAAAAAAGAACAAATTTAAGAAACAAGTTTGAATGAATTTTTGTATGATTCAAAAATTATTCTCTTATTAAGTTTTCATTACACACTAATTTAAAAAAAGCGGTCTAGGTGCGACCTGAAAGGTCCACATGACGTAACTTTCCAGTGGAAAGAATAAAAAAATATCATGTTTTAATATTTTATACAATTTATCATTCGGCAAAAAAAAAAACGACTTGACGAATTTTGTTAAAAATTTAATGAGGTCTAAGTTACATAATTATGCGTTAAATGAAAATGGTCCCATATCAATATCACTCTTTGTTCTCGAGATACACGAGGCGAAAATTGAATTCGAACATACATACATACGTACATGTGCATTGTGCACACACGGACATCCTCTTAAAAACCATACTATTCGACTCTAAAGACCTTGAAACGTGGAGATATGTTAAAATTTCCAATTTGCAAAATCGGACCCATTACAATAATTTCCCACTGGGAAGTTAAAAATAGGGGAAATATTCGCCTTGAAGCGGCACAAAATTAGCGCTGTTTCTTACTTTTTTTTTAGATTATTTGAACTTTAATTGTCTGAGTTAAAGCAATATATTTTTTAATATAATTAAGGGTGTGGTGACCAACGAGGACACGGTCCATATAAAAAAATAAATAAATGGCTAATGACTAGTAATTCTCCATATAATACTAAAGTACCTATTAAGTTGGCGATTTAGGCCGGCCGTACATTTTTGGAAACTTTCTGTCACAAAATTTCTAACATGCACCGGAAACATGGGCACACCCGCCATCCTACAGACATTTCGTTCCGTCAATTCTATTTATCACCAACATTCTGTAGACATGTACGCATATATAAAAATAATAAATCTTGTAATAAATATTCTCATCTCTCATCATTTCCGATACTCTTTGTCCCCACGTCTACACGTGCGTCTCACTCGGGTCGGGCTACGTTCTCAGAATTTCTTAAGATGTGTGACGTTCAGTACAAAGTGTATGGAAAACTCGCCTCCCAACATTCTGAGTTCTGACACATAGAACAACGGCCCACTGGCGGACCGAAGGGAAGTAGCCATATTGTTTTTTCCCATATACTACTGATACAGAACTGTCCGTCATTTTTGCGCGGGGAAATCTACGCAAAAAAGAACTATCGTCTGTCTCTACGAAACTCACTCGTACCACTATCGCTCGGTGAAAGCAACAATTTTGGCCTGAACCGGGATTCGAACACAGCGTCACATGATGATCACAAGAAAAGCAGTCGCGTTTACGACCACTAGACTAATGATTATTTATTTAGAAAAATAAAGATCATAAAAATTATACTGTGTACATTATCTTCTTATTTTTCTTTTCATCGACTAATAACTGTCCACTTCTCGACATGTACTGTGTAATGGGAATGCCATTGCAGGAGGATTTGTGATAATCGACACGCTCGGCAAGCGGAATCCAGATGTCTTGCGCCATTGACGCTGCTCTTCGACGTTTTTACCACAGAATAAATAATAGTACTACATACAGAAGTTACACTTTTTTATGTTAACTGCTTGCCGAATTTTAATAGCCTACATTATTATTATTAATTGGATAAATCACGCACGCAAGCTAAATAAAACTTTATTGCTGCGCGCGAGTGTCCATATTACTTTGCATCTTTTCCCCTTCCTTAGTCACGGCGGACTTTCCGTGGTTACTAAGAGATGTCAATAAAAAGAAAAAAAAATACATTGCGAAATGTTAATTAAGTTACTTAGGTGAAGTATCTATTCTGACTGATCGACTGACCATATTTTCGCACATATGTGAGTCTGCGATATCCAACGCATGCAATTTGCAAGGCCATTCGTCGCGAATCGCGATGTGTAGCTCGGAAGAAACAACAAATAAATTTCAAATATGATTTCTAACATTTTCTACTTTGTTAAAAATCTTGTTAGTAGATAGTTTTATGTTCAGTATATTGTGTAATTGTAACTTAAAATATTTTAACCCCTTCGCTCTGACAGCGCGCGACATGTTATACTCCCGTTCGCTCGGGACCGTAATGGCGGGAAAATTTGCAAATTAGCAAATTTTTTGCTATATTGCAAATTTTGCTATATTTTCACTTTGAGACAATATTTATGGATAAAACTTACAGGATTTCTTGTTGAATGTATAAACTATCGAATAAAATTATTTTTGGTTGCTAGAAATTGTAATAAAATACGTAAATTACCCTGTATAGCTGTATAGTGGTATATACTTCAATTTTAGTGACAAAATTACTACTAACTTGAATTCTACACTTTTGTTTTTAGAGAAATTTATATGAAAATGTTTGGAAATATGTATATTTTTATGTTTTATGTGTTTCCATTCGTTACTCATACCAAAATATAAAGAAATTAAAAAAAATTAAATAATCATATTTTATCTGTGTGACATTTAGAACAATATTTCTAAAATAGTTTTGTGTGAATTTGAAATAAATACAACGTCAAGTTATTTGAAATATGTAAGAAAACTATTTTTACTTACATTTTACACTAAAAATAAATGAGAATGTGAAAAATACCACATTTATGACCCAGCCGTCATAATGGGCCTTCCAGATTTTGAAGCACTTTTGGCAATTTACTTTTCACTTTTTATACCACAAATTATATATCTACGTGTTCACTATATTACAAGGAATATAAAAAAATATAATACTTTCGTTTTTAGTCCAGACACAGTTATAAAATTCTATAAAAAAGACGGAGCGCCTCCATCAAAACGACACGTGGAACGCCGAAAGTTTAGAGTGATTTCTTTTTTTTTTTCTAAGAAACATTGCCAGGTTATGGTTTAAAATAAAAGAACATATCTTTGTCTTTGATACTATTATCTATTGCATATTGTCTTTGGTTTTGTTTTAAAGGAAAAAGTAGTTTTTTCATAAGGCAGTACTTCTGATATTATCTGATCTAATTAGCCCCGTACTAGAGCGGGCGTAAGGTAGGTATTGTACGATCTGATTAGATTGGTAGCCGAGCGATAGGGTTAATAACAAAAGGCAAGTATAGGTGTGTAAGTAGATACTTGGGTAGTGAAGTAAATTTCAACTAATTTTTGTAATGAAGTACCTACGTAAGTATGACTTCTGTCACGGTAATTTTATCTATACAGTATTCCAACTTCATACAAACGGACGAAGCGAGAGCTATGCCTACGCGCCTCGATCTCGGCATGCGCTCGGCATGCAGACAGTCGAGACTGCCGCAGTGGTGATTTTGTAGAATATATAAAAAAATGGAGGAAATAAACAATAGAATAGAAATAAAGAAATAATTTAATTCATTTAAAACTAAACATATAAATTGTAAAGTAGCTGCAGGTATCTATAACAAAGTAAAAAATATTCCTTTTCTCCACCTTGTCCATATTTCCCAAAACAATTTTTAATTAAGCTTTATATTAGAATGCGGATTTTTTATAGTTAAAAATGTAATAATAAGGCATTTCGTAAGTCTCAGCCGAGGCGCAAATATATTTCGGTCGCAAATTTATAAGACCGTTTTGTTATTCAAACATAAACATGGTTTTTTAATTAATCTGCCAATCAAAAAACGAGACGCATTTTTATTGAACACTTCCTATTCAATTTTCAAAGTACCTATTTTATTTGTTTATATAAAAAAAGTATATTTACAATCACAAAACCAAATGGAAACACAAAGTAGGCAAATGTAATGCTGGAGGCAGGCAGCCAAGCAGCCCTATCGCATGTATACGTACCGCGCGGCTGTAGGCATTTATATCAAAGATACGGCCGAGTTACAATACTGTATAGATAATATTACGGTGCTTCAATGTAGATAAATTATTACCTACTTGAATCTTTTTTGCTATAAGTAAGTACCTAAAATGTAATGAATTCACCTTTCATGACTTCCTACTAAAGTCCTTCGGTAACTTAAATAATGATATACATAATGATTTCTTATATTTACGCGAACACTATATATTGATTAAAACCATGGGTGCTGGAAAGCACCCGAAACGTCGGGTATTAAAATTAATATAAATAAAACGCGATAAAATCCGTAAAAGTAGTTTTAATCAATGATATACATAATATCTGAAACCTTTTGTTGGTCATTTAGCATCTATCCGCGCAACAATTAGGTATAGTAGGAAGGACGTTTTGCCATTAAAATTTATCAAATAGATGGGTAATATACATAATATATATAATTCTTAAATTACATTTATACTTTTTAATTATTTTTATTCTACAATTAAATATACTAAACACCAAACAAAAACTATTTCAACAAGTATTTACAAAAAAATATTTACGTAAACAGCGTAAAAACTTTAACATTCAATCGCCTAGAACGCGCTAGCCCTGACTGCGTATTTCACCCGAGGTGCATTGCGATTTTAGGTAATTAAGTCACGCAGGTAGCAACAGTGACAGAGGCCTGGTATTACTTTAGTTCCTAACAACTATAATAATAGCAGTTAATAATACCTCGTTTTGTTTTAGGTCTTCTAAATAGAGTAATAGCATCGAACCTGCACGAAAAAGTCCTACCGCTTATACCGCTGAACGAGCAATTTATCGACACGGGGCCACCTCTAGGTGACTTTCAAAGATTACCGGTTAGTATTCATATATTATTATTATTAAATTAATGCTCTCTTAATAATAATATACATATGGCATTATAAACCGTTTCTGTCTCACAGATTATAACAAGAAATTATCTGTTTAGGTCAGTGCTCTCGGCTAGAGAGTACTATATTCTTTGGGTCAATGTGTTTTCATGTCATTTATGATATGCATTTCGTACAATAATGTTTAAATTGTATTTGTCTATTGTTATAACCAACATCAATATACGTTCGTTGACTTAAGTGCATAAGTTCATATAAGCATTTTAAAATGTGTAATATGAGAATCAGTATTTCGTTCTTTAGGTATGGAAGTGTCGAATTATGTGATTGTCTAAACTAAAATTATGAGTATGACAAAAATTATGTTTTAAATATAAATATATTTGACAGTTGAAAATTCCTTCTAGTTACTAAAAGAACTGTAAGTATGTATATAGCTAGTAGCTAAAGGAATATTCCAACTACTTTTGTTGTTAAAGGCGTTCGATGTTATCGAGATGAAACACACTAATCTATAAAACAAATTGTTAAATATATTTCATTTCTTACTTCTTTCTTGATCTCTGACCCACCACTGTTAGTTTAATATTTGGATCATTCGACCATAACTATATCGATAAGAAAAATAAATTTATAAAATTCAACACCGTGGTTAAATATAACTGAGCTCTACAGAGATCACAACAAACTCCTTAGCAAATGGAAAATTTTGAGACTTGCGTCCGGGAAACATCTATTTATAATAAGTGTTTTGCAACTTATGATAATTTATATCGTTATTTAAATAAACTCTATAGTTTATTTTCAGTATTGCAATGATTACGTTGCTGCCATTAGGGTTAATACAGAGCAGATGGCAGATATTTCTGCGTTCATTTACTTATTGCTTTTATAAAATATCTCTCGATCAACTCTAGATTTAGACGTTATAAATATATATAAATAACTTATAATAATTGTGTGTCTTATTCCCCTTATCTTTTCATGGAATTAGGAATTTTATACATTTAAGTGTATATACTTTGTTTCGTATATCGACTATAGCTAATTTTACAATAATCAATTTTTGACCATAAAATTAACATTCATTTTACACCAATGTAGATCTCTTTATTATACCAACTCTTATTTAGAAGTTATGTAGGTATCACATATTCCTGCACGTATTTTTGCTGATCGTCTACAAATATTGATGGAATTCGTGGCTTCAACTGACTGCACGTTCAGACGCAACTGAACGTACCTACCTACATTTTATTTTAAGGTCAATATTTTTAACATGCTGTTAGCGTGCTTGTCAAGTGACAGACTGCTTGGCATGCGGTAATAAAAAATTGTATTCCTTATGAAATCGTGTGGGGTAAAAGGAACATTTGGAAGAGTAAGTATACTGTAATATTTATTGACTTCATGAGCTAAAAGTTTTTAGCGATCAATGAAAAAGCTATTCTTGGGTTTTGAAATTGTATTCAATTCTCGATGAAGAAATCCATTGCAGAACCAGTGCCACCAACATAGCTTCCTGTTTGTAAATTTTAGTGGTAATGGGCTGGTGAAATTTATGTCGCAGAAGTTACAACCGTTGAAGTAGACATTTTTTTATAGTATAGGATGACAAAGCACTCAGTCCAACTGAAATTAAGAGTCAAAATTCAGATGCGTTGTTACTCCTGAGGACTAAGATAGAATGTCTTGTTTTCAGTAAAATGGGTCTTCGGTTTTCTACACTCACCATACAAAATACATCTGAATTAAGCCTGTAATGTCCTGAAGTGGATAATGCGCTTAGGTAAACTTAATGTAGGACGTCCCAGTGCTAGAGGCAGCAGGTACTGGCCTCAAGACGTGCTTCTGGTAAACGATTACAATGGAGGGGCTCCTTTTGTTTGTCTACGCTGACGGCGCCCCCCATGGGGCTTTAGCCGGTAGAAGGTATACATAACCTTCCCGTTGCTATCCATGAGGTTATCCTCACGTTAAGAAATGGGCGTCTCTTGGCTTAATGCCTGGTTGCAGCTGCATGCATGGAGATGGGGTTAGTTAGCGCTTCTTTGAAAGGTGTGTACAGCCGTGTTCTGCTGAAAATTTTTATTTACGTCTAGGAAATACAAAAATTTCACTTTGACAGATCGATTCGTTCTTGCACTTTGTTCTTGGTCGAAATTCATAAATATAATTTGTATTGATAAAAAATATAATTACTCTGACTAAACTCTCTAAGAAAGCGAAACATTACTTAATCTCATTCTTAATTCGCATCTTTATATATGTAGGTAGGTATATTGCACGTACATTTCTCTACATTTGAACGCAATGTTCCTGACCTAGACGTGTTGAATCATTCCTCGCGACGACAGTGAGAATATTGTATTTTGTCGATTTTAATTGTTCTAATGAGTATTACCAGATGTACGATTGAACACTATGTAATACTATCTTAGTTCTATTTACCCGAAAACCGACCCAGAGATCTTGTGACATAGTTCGTGGTCGCTGGTTTGGTTTGCGGGTCTTCATGTGTAATTTTATTCTGGTTGTGTTATTGTTATATTATAGGTAATTAGCAAATCTGTAAACTGTAAAAATACCTGTGCCTGGTGTAGCCCTGTGGTCCGTTTATAGCTGTGGTCACAAATGAACACAAGTCTTCTCTCATTATTGAGAGGGTCTGTTAAATGTATTCTTAGGGAATACATATTCATTGCGAAAAATTTTAAATTTCATAAAAATCCATACAGCCATCGGTTGTATTAGCCCTACCGCTTGTATGAGAATAATGTTACATTGGTGTTTTATGGTGTACATCGTCATCATCATAAATAATAATATACCTATAGGTACTGCTCCATAACCTCACAAAATTAACTAAGTGAACAATTCGGAAAGTCATAATAAGTATATAGCTATCAACTTAATAGTGGATGCTATTGCTATTTCTGTTATATTCCATAGCGGCATCTCATTTAGCCCATATTAATTATTCTTCTCCAACTTGTCAAATCTTCATTGAAGTATACTTAATTTGAGTCAGTTTAAGACAACTTTCGTTTGTTATTGTATAAATGTTGGCTAGACTTCAAACCCTCTGACTTATCTATGACGGTAATTCGGTAGCGGTAGCGAACCTTTAACATAAAATACGCGAGCACGTAATTTAGCTTAAGAAATGATCCCTAAAAGGGATTCTGATTGTATTTTAACTGTATCTTTGATTGCTTCATGATTTATGTTAATTTTTAAATTTTTGGAAAAGCTGTTTTGCGGTAATGTCACTTAATATCACGTGATTTAACGACTCAACGTTAAGTAACGTGGCCACTAAATAATTAATTAATTTTCATATATCATTCCCATTAGGTTTTATTCTTTTATTTTAATGACGTTAACGATTGTAGTTAAAGTCAACTAGGCTAAGCTCACTGACATCTTAGACTACTGTGTAGATACATTATTAAGCTACTATTTTGTAGTGCCGTGTAGTGGCGGTTGAGAATATCCACTACCCCGTATCTTCCCGGGGGTGTCGTAAGATGCGGCAGAGGGAGACAGGCAGGAGATGGGCAGCAGCATCTTCCTGATAACAACTGTGTTATAATAAAAAACTGCGGTTGCCAACCCGCTCGCCAAGCGTGGCAACTATGGCAAATATCCCCCCATGAATAACGACGCAAAAAAACTGCCCCCAGTCCCCGGCGGCCCCGCTATTCCTGGCTACGGTGGCGACCGTGGTAACGGCGGGGCAGGGGGTGCTAAGAATCTCCGGTGGAGGTTCGGTTGCCACCTACGACGACTCGACCTGGCAACATATAACGCACGCACCCTGAGGACTGACGAGAAGATACTGGAGCTGGAAGAAGAGGTAGACAAGTTGCGCTGGCATATTATTGGATTATCCGAGGTCCGAAGAGAGGGGGAGGATACGGCAATCCTCGAGTCCGGCAACTTGTTCTACCACCGGGAGGGCGACCATCTGTCCCAAGGAGGTGTCGGATTTATCGTCCACAAGTCTCGTCAACAACGTTGTAAAGATTGGGAGTGTGTCGACGAGGGTAGCGTACCTGATACTCAGAATCACCAAACGGTATTCGCTGAAGGTCATACAGGTTTACGCACCAACCTCGGCACATCCCGATGAGGAGGTGGAGGAAATGTATGAGGATATTTCCAGAGCCATGCATTCCTCCAAAACCCACTACACGGTGTTGATGAGAGACTTCAACACAAAACTAGGCACATGAGAAAGCGGTGAGCTGAAGGTGGGGAAGTTTGGAGTAGGGCAGGCTTTATGATGAACTTTTTCTTCCAGAAGCGGCCCCACAGGAAGTGGACCTGGTCGAGCCCCGACGGTTCGACAAAAAATGAGATTGACTTCATTATGACGACCAGACGCCAACTGTTTAGTGATATCTCAGTGATCGCAAGGGTGAAAACTGGCAGCGATCACCGTTAGAGGCACACTGAACCTAAACGTTAAGTTGGAGAGGTCTCGTCTAATGAAGTCAACGCTCCGTCCCCCCTCGTGCTCTAATCCAGAATCCCGAAACCTTTCAGCTCGAGTTACAAAACCGCTTTCAGTGCCTAGAGGATTGCAATGCAGTGGACGATATGAATGACAAGCTCGTGGAAACTGTCCATGCGGTCGGAGCTAAGTTCTGCAAGACCCGCCGCAGAAGAACACAAAAACTCTCCAATCACACTCTTAATCTCATGGCTGTTAGACGGGAGATGAGGCTGCAATCGTCAACAGATTTGACAGCATACAGGCAACTGAACAGACAGATCTCCAAATGCATGCGGCGAGACTTACGCAACTTTAATACTGCTCGTATTAAAGAAGCGATCGAGCGGAACCAGGGCTCCAAAGTCTTTGTCAGAGATCTGTCTGCCAGAAAGAGGCAACTGTCAAGGCTGAAGACTGAGTGTGGCAACATCGTTTCCGGGACACCTGAGATTCTGAGTGAGATTGAGAGGTTCTATGGGCAGCT